ATATATATGTGTGTGTGTGTGAGTATAAACAAGAAGAATATTGAAAAAAAAAATATCGTATATAAAATGCAATTTATTTTACTTGTTCTTTATTTGAGATACATAAATATAACATTGTTCGTAGTTGAATTTTCAACGTCGTAGTTTGCAAAGTTTTAGAGAAGTACAGTGCGCGCGCTTCATGCAATATTACGAGCTTATAGCCCTTTGTTAGTTTACGTGTCGTGCAAGCTGCTATCGTGAGGGCCGACCACGAGGGGTGGGATTGTAAAATTTTCTCTAACCAAACATGGCCGCCAGATCAACCCTCCACAAAGCGACGTCAATGCGAAATTCCCGCTGCCCCGCCGGAGGTCCCACTGCAAGGAAACGAGGGTTGAATTCGAAATAGTGCTTACAGTACACGTTTTGTACTGACACGTATACCATTATCGTGAATTTATTTCTGCTTGATTATATTACTGATTCTCGTTATAAAACTAACAATATGACGCGAAAGTAAACGAATTGATATCTCAATAAACTTTCCCATTGCGAGACATAAAATTTTTTTTAAATGTCGATATTAAAAAAGTACTGTCTATTGAATGCAATACACTGAGAAACAGAATTGCGACTCTTCGACGTTTTTTTCTAGAATCGTCCATTCTTATTATGAACTTCTCGAAATATTGGAATGTAAACATTTTTCTCAGGTTCAGTCGGCGCCATAGTCCGACAAAATGTAAATACTGTCTTCTGTATGAATATTCAATTAACGAACAATAGCTGTGCAAACCAGTATATTTGTTAATACTAGCTACTGAGGATTATTTGCAATTATCGACGATATTCTAATGATTTTCTTGAAGCAGGAAAAATCTCTTCTGACGAGATTATATCGCAGAGTAAATATGTTTATAATTTTATATCATATTTCTTTATAATCTGTAATTGAGTTAATAAGGATTATAAAATATTAATAAACTATAATCAATAAAACTGTATTATACATCCGGTTATTATTTTGGCAACAGAAGGATTCAACGATATGACTCACGAGGCGTCTATTTAGACATTGTGTTTTATAATATAATTAAAGCAATATCATATTTCTAAGATGGCTATTTTCCATTTATGTAATACTACAAATTTTGCAATATTAATCCAGACACAAAAATTGACCGAAAAAAAAGGAAGGAATTTATATTCTAACAAGTGGCTCGTTATCGTAATTTCCTTTTTCCCATGATTCTCTGCTCTGCTGTTGGCGTCTTTCTGAAATAAGCGTTTATTCTCTATACCGACAAATTGATTGGAAAAATGATTGAATTTCTCAAGTATCCTGAATAGGCAGACGATTATTACGATATCCGCACAGTGGAACGGATATTTTTTACAAGGAGAATCTTGCAAATTTTATGCATTTTATTCTAATAAAAAAAATAACCTGTTCTGATTTAATTGTAGAAAGAAATTATAATAAATATTACAGAATTAGACAGTCGCGAACGATTAATAATCTTATTTTGCACTGTACAATTCTATCTATATTTGGATACAACATGCTATATTTTAATATATGTACTACACTGAGAAAAATGATTTTGTTATAGGAACAAATCAAGGGAAAATGTGATATTTATTTTAAAAAATGATCGATTTGTTACGATTGCAAATTAATTCATCAATATGACAAATAATCAATAGTATCGTTAGCAAATAAGAGACTCATATATATATATATATATATATATATATATATATATAAAAGTCGTAGACAATTGCAGGATCTCAAATCGTAAGAAATTGACCAATTCTAATTAATTTTCCCTATATTTAACTGTTTGGTCAGTTTCCTACTACTTAAGACT